GTTCCCTCAGTGAGGACTGAACTAGGCAAAAGGGCCTTCTCCTACTCTGCTCCTGTTTCCTGGAATATCTTACAAAAAGATTTGAAGCTCTCGACCTTGACCTCTCTAAGTGTCTTTAAGAATCTGTTGGACTCCTGGCAGGGTCCAATGCAGACATGTTCCTGTTTTTAGTTTTATACATTTGTCTTGGAATCTAGCTGTTTTTTTGTTTTGTTACCTTTTTCCTTTTAGCCATCCTATTTGTTAAAAAAAAAAAAAAACTAAAAAACTGTAGTATGAGTTTTTATAACTGCTTATTGTTGTTGCTGTTGTCCATTGTTGTCATCATTCTTTGTTGAAATCAGGTCTCTCTTGTAAATGAGTCCTCAAGGCTCAATGGGATTTACCTGTATAAATAAAGGTTGATTGATTCCAGTTATTTCAGTGAACTTTGTAGGTCTTTCTTTAACAAAAAGTCTGAAATGGCAGAGATGTTACAGGAACAAGAACAGGAGAGTAAATCAAGTTTACCTTTAGGAGTCTCTAAATTGTTTTAAACAAACTCAGAAGCTAAATATAATCCTGATATTATGAACAAACAAGGATTAATCAAGGACAGGTTGACTAAAATAAATAATGACGCCAGAAGGTTTCATGATATCTGAACGTTTCTGAGCAAAGATTTGTGGAACCAGGATTCATTCATTCATTCATTCATTCATTCATTCATTCATCCATTCATTCATTCATTCATTCATTCGTTCGGTCGGACGGATGGAAATGTTTTTGTACAGGGACCTGAAAAGACATTTGTTAAAGTGACACTTTATAACTAAACTGAAACGAATAGACGTCTTTAGGCTGCTTGTATAGTGATTAAACAAGTTGATCAGAATCTTATTAAATTACATTGACAGGATTTTTTAAACAATATTAAATAACACGTTGGTCTTAATGAGGCAGTGAACGTGTCACATGGAAAAAGGATGTTATTACAACACCCATTCAACTTTGACATAAAACTTGCATATAGGGAAATTATCATTTAGGGTAACTTCCTAATCAAAACATTTCCTTAAACCAAACACAACAGTCTTTAAAAATAGCATTTCAAACATATAAGAATGTTGCTGTTTTTTAACCAAAGTATTAAAACAGATAACATACAGTCTTAATAATCTGAATAAAGCTTCTTAGAAAAACAAACATGTCAAAATCTTTTCATGTGTTGCTTTGTGTCTATTATTATTCTTTGTAGAGATCTAGCAGAGTGCTGTATGAATGGGTAAATGAGGCACAGATTGTGTTGTAAAGCGCTTTGAGTATCTGGATAAGGTAGAAAATGCTTTATAAGTACATTCCATTTACCATTTGTGTCTGCAAGCCTGTGCTGGGAAGTGATAGAGGTGAGTGCATGTTCCTTGTATGTTCAAAGAGCACTTGGAAGCAGCTCACAACCCAGAACAGTCATTTCTGCTACAATCTATCTAGGTTTTACCATACCATACCATACCATACCATACCATACCATACCATACCATACCATACCATACCATACCTTACCATTTTACTTATAAAGCATTTTAAACAGTGACAGGGCCAACCAAAGTGCTGTACAGACAGAAACAAACAGGCAAAGCACACAGCAACACATAACGTAACGTAAAATCTAAATAAAGAAACAAAATAATGTTTTTAAACTGAGTTTGGAAATAAAGTTTTATGTAATTAGTCATTATTTTATTTCATTATTTTCTTTATTGTTCTATCATTGAGGCCTGTAAGACCGTGTTCCTGTGATTTTCTGAGAAGACAAAACATTTTCTGGAGTGTTAGATCTTTAGTCTCACCACTTTACTTCCTAGGACTAACCTTACCTCCATGTTGGCTTCAAACAGAGTCATGGCATTAACCACCACCGAGTGATGATGTGTGCCTTCATCGTGTGTATCTGCAACGTGCTGCAGTATGTCTTCATGATGATGCTCTGTTAAATATGTGTCAAACACTCGGTCAATCAGGGCCTCCTGTTCTGAGCCGATCATGGTGGAAAGATCCCGCCTGAAACACCAGAAGAAAGGATGGGAGTGTCAGGTTCATCTGCTGGAGACAGAAAACTTGATGGTTCAACTGTGTAAAAACATCCACTCTAACTCCCACCAGTCTAACCAGCAGCAGTGAGTGAACTAGTTGTACATGTCTTTGATGACCTGCTGACCTAACCTGCCCCCCAGGACTGGCTCCAGGAGGGTGCTCACATTTTCCATGTACCAGGCAAAAGGATCCATTTCTTTGGGGTCTTCTTTATCAAGGTCTTCAAATTACCTTCGGTCTTGATCACTTTGCCACAGGAGACCCTAACAGTGACAAACCACTCACGATGAACCCCTGCACCACATTAAGGTGGCAATTCTGTGGAGGGCTGAACACAAACAGTGGTGCTTCAAAGTTTGTTAAAAAAAAAAAACTTGGCTTGAAACATAGCAGTGAAGGTGAGACAGATATGGATGGCAGGTCATAGACTGAGGAAGTCCTCTGGATAGGGGACAAAACGTTTCTCACAAAGAAACTGGTCCAGATGACACGAAGAACCCCTCATAGCCTCTGATGTGTGTCCCACTATGAATGTGATAAAGCTCTGATTAGTCTCTTTAGAATGATTTGTTCAATTAGCTTTGTAGAGATCTAGTAGAGTGCTGTATGAATGGGTAAATGAGGACACAGATTGTAGTGGAAAGCACTTTGAGTATCTTGAAATAAGATAGAAAGGCGCTGTATAAGTACAGTCCATTTACCATTTACAAATAACCAAGCCTCCATCAGAAAGGAGGGGGGAGGGTATCTGTTTGGCGGGGTTGGGAGGTGAAAACGGAGGGTGATGGGGGTATTTTGTCCTCGAGACTGTTCGTCTTTGCCGCAGCCTCTCACTGTAACGTGCTTCAGATTAGAGCTGGGCCATATCATATCGTTCACGATAATACTGGTAAAAAAAAGCTTGCCCAGGAAAATAAATGATATCATGATATGCTAATTTCATGACGTAAGTACATCAGTGTTTACCCCGCCCCGTTAACCGAACCGAGCGCGCCGAACTACCGAACCGAACTGCGCACCCCCCATCCACCTGTCAGTACTGGCATAATGCTAATTAGCTGCGCACAATACTAGCTAGCTAAAAAGCTAAAAACAAACAACAAGCAGCTCGGCTGCGTTTCTCCATCCAGCTCTAAACTGCGAGTACAGACATGCATTGACATCTCAACTGTCTCTCCCTCTCCCCCACCCATGCAGCTCAGCTTTTTTTCTCTCCCCCCACCCCGCTCTGGGCTACCGGTGCAGGCGCAGCTCGGCTGGGTTCCCCCCCCCACACACACACACACACACACACTCTAATCTGCCAGTACAAACACGTGCAGGTCTGTCTCTTGAGTTCCACAGTCCATGGACCAAGAAAAGAGGCAGGTGATCAAAGAAATGGATTCATTCCTAGAGCGGAACACCTTGTCACAAGTTCTGGAAGTTATAGCTCATTTAAAGGCAACATATATTTGTGGTAGGATACATTTATGCTCAGCCGATCTTAAGCTTCATTTTATTTAGTTAATTTGGGAAACTTCACCTGCACTTTAGTTTTTGTAGAGTATTTTGTTGATTGTGCAAACTTTTTCAATCTAAATAACAGAAGGATCATTTTTATTTTTATACTTTGAGACTGAATAGTGAAAAAAATTAAAATTAAAGTAAAATTAACCCTCGTTGTTTTTTAGATTTTATAAAATACCGCAAAGCAACATGTTAAGTTAATTTTGTCAAATGAATAACTATGATTTGTTTTGTTTTTTTGTTAATCACGAAATTTATCGTTATCATCAGAATGCTCTGAAATATCACAATATTATATTTGAGCCATATCGCCCACCCTTACTGTGACAATGATTTTCAGAAAAATATGTACCGTGGATTATTTGTCATAACTCTGGTGTTACTTGACCGTAAGTAGCAAAATCACCACCCGTTATTGAGAAGGTAGAGAGATTAGGTTGTTTATGAGTGGGGAGTGGTGGCGCAGAGGTTAGAGAGGTGGGCCTGTGATAGGAAGATCGTCAGTTCATGCTCCGGTATCGACAACATCAAAAATGTGGGTGGGGTAGGTGAAGCACCCACACTTGCCCCCACCCTCATTCGCCCCACTCTGGGCCCATGAGCAAGGCCCTTAACCCCCATCTGCTCCCTAAACAGGTCTCTCTTGAAAATGAGTTCTCGTGGCTCAATGAGACTAACCTGTATAAATAAAGGCTAAATGAAAAATGACTGTTTAATGTTTTTAGATAAATAAATGCATAGATATAAAGTTGCAGCAGGTTGTTCTGTGAAAAATCAAGTTTATAAAAGCAACAGACACCAACTTTTATTCTGTTGTGTTTGGCTCAATGTCATTACCTAAGAACATCTCATTTCATAGTCCCATCTTCCTGGAGTAAAAACATGTTTCTAATTCAACATTTTGACTGAAACATTTTGTAGAAGAATGTGGCCAAATAAATAAACATTTTTTTTTTTTTTTTTTTTTTATTTATTTATTGCGTTCGTCTATTTGGATGATATATTGGTGGCTAGTCCCTCGGTGGCAGAACACATGGTGCACCTTCACCAGCTGTTTGTTCGGATCAGTGAGCACGGCCTGATCGTGAACCAAGCTATTTGCCAGTCTGGTCTGCCTGCTGTTGAGTTCCTGGGACACAGAGTGTCTGCTCAAGGGGCGGTTGCCTTACCTGCCAAGGTTGAAGTTGTTTTAGTTTTTCCTCGCCCTCCCTCAGTGAAGCCCCTGCAGGAGTTTTTGGGGATGGTGAACTTTTATAACCGTTTCATCCCACGGGCGGCTCATCTTATGCACCCTGATATAGAAATTATTATTTTAATGCTTTTATGTCAATCTAGACCTATATTACACTTATTTAAACACACTTATACAACGTGTTATTCACATATTAGGGATTGTATTTTGTATTATGTTTTATGAGGTGTTGGGTCGCCTTTTATGCCTGTTCAAACATATACTTTGTGTGTGTGTTGCTTATACACTCTTTGATGGTTTGCAGAAGGGACGGAGGGGTGCTCTTTAGGAATGCTTTAATAAGCATTAGGAGTGCTCTTGACCTGGAAGCTTTGGCCCG